CCCACACCCACACGCACACGCACACGCACACGCACACGCACACGCACACGCACACGCACACGCACACGCACACGCACACGCACACGCACACGCACAAGCACACGCACACGCACACGCACACGCACACGCACACGCACACGCACACGCACACGCACACGCACACGCACACGCACACGCACACGCCCACGCACACGCACACCCACGCACACGCACACGCACACGCACACGCACACGCACACGCACACGCACACGCACACGCACACGCACACGCACACGCACCCACGCACCCACGCACGCACGCACCCACGCACGCACGCACGCACGCACGCACGCACGCACGCACGCACGCACGCACGCACGCACGCACGCACGCACGCACAGGCACACGCACGCACGCACAGGCACACGCACGCACGCACAGGCACACGCACGCACGCACAGGCACACGCACGCACGCACAGGCACACACACGAACACACGCGCACACGCAACACACGCGCACACGCGCACACGCGCACACGCGCACACGCGCACACGCGCACACGCGCACGCGCGCACGCGCGCACACGCGCGCACGCGCGCACGCGCATGCACGCGCTCCCCCGCGTGCGCACGCCCGCACGCCTGTATGCTATACCCGCCTGCCTGCATGCACGCACGCACGCAATTGCGCAACACTCTCATGGACCCGGCAGTGTACACTTCCTTGATTTGCTTGTTGGGCAGGTCGTCACATTGGACAGGGGATCGTGCTTCACCAAGCTGCAGCGATAAGTGTCTTTTTTGCTGCCATTTCAGATTCCTTCATCGCCTTCCTCTCTCAGCTTCAGCTGTGGCTCAAGGATGGCATTTAGCAGCAACAGTACATGGCATGAAATGGGACCCAGCCTCATGTTAAGATAGGGCTCGGGTTCTTGGTGCTGTAGCACTAGCAGCGCATCTAGGTGCGGGTGTCCCTGGAAACGAGCCATGCTTGTACCCAACGCAGGGGCGGTCTCCCCATCTGGTGCAGTTGTCTCTCGTGTGAGCTTGCCAGGGGACGCTGCAGTTCCGACAGTTCCGACTGCAAGGGGTGCAAGGAGTGCCGTATTGAGCAGAAGCGCGCGCGGAGCCCTGGCCTCGCTCTCTGCCACGCTGGTGTCCACGCTTGCCCTTCCGGCCCTGAAGCTCAGAGTGCGACGCGGAGCCGGGAGCCGACTTGGTCGAAAGGCGGAGGAATCGAGCACGGCGACAGAGCCAGAACTGTCAGCAGCCAAAGAAGACAAAGAAGCCGAAGAAGCCCAAGAAGCCGAAGGGGAGAGAGGTGTGGAGGCCGATGAGGAGTCGACGGCCATCGGCAAGGCCAAGCCCCGGCAACGCCGTATGCCCTTCGATCCGACAAAGGAGCCCGGCGCCATGGCGCCTTTGGGATTCTTTGATCCTTTGGGATTTTGCCCTTCTGGTGACGAAGGCAAGTTCAAGCAGCTGCGAGCAGCCGAGCTGAAACATGGACGTGTTGCCATGCTGGCAAGTGTGGGCCTTGTGGCCCAATGCTACATCCGACTCCCTTTCCTCGGACTAAAAGATTCCCCCGCTGGTTACAAGGCTGCCCTTTTGGTTCCCTCCTTGTGGATGTTTGGCCTGGTTGTTATTGGCTCAATGCTTGTGGAATGGCTGTTTTGGAAGGAGGATCCGTGGAAGGAGCCTGGAAACTTCGGAGATCCACTCGGGCTCAACATGTACGATCGTGACATGCGAGAGAAGGAGCTTTGGGATGCATTGTTCTGCTTTGCTCTTACTAAGGCTTACTACCTACCATGTCTTGGGCCTGTGTCGCGAGAACTTCGCGTTGCCAGGAGCTTAACAATGGGCGCTTCGCCATGTTTGCAACGTCCGGCATACTTGCAGCAGAGCTCCTCACTGGAAAGGACCCGCTGTTTTGTTTAGACCTGTTCGAAAGACGGTGTTCAGAAGTTCAGCGGTGTGCGCGATGTTCCAATATTAACGTCGATTCACTTTCAAATCGCAGGGGCTGTGATTAGATCTGATAAGATCTGCCGAGACTTGTTGGGAAGTATGGTGCGTTGGTGACCTTGTTTTGGTGTTCGTGTCCATCGTCCATCCTTGGGTCGGGGATTCCTCAAAAGTTTCCTCTTTGTCCTCCATCCGCTGGCGCCCGCAGACGGCAGCTGAGCAGCTTGGCCTGAGCTGAAGTCGATGAGATGTGCCGTTTGAGCTGCTGTAGATTGCTGTAGATTGATGTAGTCGGTTTGTTGATCTGCCAACCAGATCAACGGCCGAATGGCAAAGCAATGCCATCTAATGCCCATAGACAAGCCCGATGCTTTTGAAACAAGCCCGATGCTTTTGAAATGTGCTGAGCAGGTGTGCTGAAGTGCTTGTCCTACTGACAGCCCCGCCCATCTCTTTATTACCTGAGGTCTTGTTTGATTCAGGCCAGCTTGTGTGGGACTCAGTGTTTCGCAGGCAATGCTGGTCTGCTTTCGTGGCCTTACAGCATGGTGGGATATGGTGGGGACATGGCTCGTAGGTGGAACTATTCCGATTTCTGCGGCAAGCTAAAGGAGCCTTGAAGTGTGTGGGAGCTCGGCCCTTGAGGCCCACAGCATCCCTCAGCACAACGCAATACAGCACAACGCCCTGCAAGGACCGCTTTGCAGAAGCCTGGGCGGCCACTTGGGCACCACCTGAAGCTGAGGTGGAGGCCCACAGCGAGAAGGTGAAGTTGTGACACAGACTTGCCACATTCGAAAAACTGCTCATCTGGAGCCACAGAGTCAAACATGTTCTGCTGGTTCTGCACACTCACCGAAGTGCTCAGCCTCAGAGACATCTGTTCTAAGAGCCAGAACACATATCTATCAACGGCCTTTAGAAGGTCGTAGGTGGAGTTGTTCCACAGAATACTTGGATCCTCAAAAAACACGAACTAGCAAACACATCTTAGAGTCTCGAGGCTGCACCTGCCCGCCTGCAAGAGATATTTTCTGGACTTTTGTTTAGGCGCTTCCTGTTGCCTTGTGGAGGCTCGCAGCTTCGAGACGCATGCAGAGGCGAGTCTTTCCATGAGGTTGTGATCAGCTCTCTTTGTGTTCAGAGTTGTGTCTTGACAGGGCATGGCCTGGCGAGAGATCCCCGAGGGCTTTCGCGAGATCTGGTCCATGTAGATGCCACGTGCTGCTCAGGAAGTTGAGGGTCCCAGAAGCGGCTTCCTTTGTCAGATTCCGGCAGGGCAGGAGCACTTTGAATACTTTTTAACACTGAAGCAAGAGAAGACACGGCCCGCTCTAATTAGATGGCAGTTAGACTGCTTGGGTTTAGATGTCGCCGAGGATGGCGGGTGACAAAGTGCACAACGCAACCTCTCCAACATTGGACAGTTGAACTGAGAGAGCTTGCAAAACATGCCAGCAAATCGGGCCCCAGTTCGTTCAGCTTTGTAAGAAGGCATCGCAGCGCGGAAGAGTTCGTTGTTTCCGTGACATGTTCTCGGCAGGCGATGGCGAGGCTGCTTCCGAGGCGGCTTCCGAGGCGGCCGCCAAGGCTGCCGAGGCTGAGGCCGACAGAGTGCTCACAACAGTGGCATGGCCCCCAGTGCGCAAAGGCGCAAGGGGTTTTTCCACAAAGTGGACTCGGCTGTGGTCTTCTGTGGTCTTCGTGCTCCAAGCCAGCGCATCTGATGTCTCAAGGCTTCTTCGGACTTGTCGAAGAAACTGCCTGCAGGCCACATGTTGGGGACACATGGGACACATCTCACATGTTTGCGTTCATGAGACATCTCTGCGTAACTTCGCGTGATGCTTCCGAAGCTCTGAAAGTCCCACGGGTCTGTTGGCCGAGTTGTGCGTGCATCGTTGTTATATCCTGTCGTTTGTGTCTTGGAGGCCTGGAGCAGGATGCTACAATCCTCGTAGCAAACCTTCCATTTACGGTGCCAGCCTTGGCGCGGGCAAACTCCATGTGTGGTCACTCTTTTTTCTGATGTCGCCTGGTTTTGCCTGTCGTATTGGCAGAAGACTTGCTGTCATGCTTATTGCGGTGGTGTGAATCCAGGCAACGTCTCTCGAAGTGGGCGCCCACTTCTCATGGACGCTCTGCTGCGAACTACCTTGTAATTCGTGCCAACTGCCAGGACCTGTTCATGCGTTCCTTCAAGAGTTCTCTGACACGACGTGCGTGGCATGCGGAGGTACGCACCGGTCGTGCGTGTGACAAGGCCTGGAGCGGCTGGAGCGCAAGCTCAACCTCACATAGCGATGAAAATGATGCCGTGAAAGTTTGCTTGTATCGCGTGGCCGTGTAGCCCAGCATTCGATAAGACAACGTGAGGAGCAAAGTTGACTTCATCTTGTGGGGCCTCTGTTGTTGCTATACATTGCTAGACACAGCATGCCACAGTTATGGAGTTTCTAAGGTGCTTCCTGCATGCTATGCAAGTAGTGGGTACGTAGCAGAGAGGCTCGACTCCCATGATCTCCCATGCATTCCCTGGACAAGACTTGTTAAGCCACTGGAGCCATGCCTTCGGTGTCCCATCTGCCCGAGCTTCTCCTGGTGGAGGCGGCAGCAGTATTGTCTGCAGGCGCATACGGCCTTGTGACTCACCTGCGTTCAGCAGCCATTCGTTGTGTCCGTTGTGTTGACTCCTTTCCACTTTCGATGCCTCAATCTGCTGCATTCTTCCAGCTGTCAGGTCAAGGGAAGTCGGGCTGCTGCGGCTTCCAGCCTGCTTTGCGCAGCTCTACTAGCCCCCTGGCATGATGGTGCATGATGTTGGCAATGAGCTGAAGGTTAGCTCCGTGCCTTGCAGCTGATTGCCACAGCTGTCGCAGCTCAGGCTGCTTTTAGAGAGATAGCCCTTGCCAGCGCTGTGATCACTGCGGTCTTGGCCACTCGACTTCCCTAGCCATGCAATGAATCAAAAGACAGGGCAGCACGTGCGCGGCGAAAGCACGGGCCTATGGGTCGCTTTGTGTGTGCTTAGGTTGTTCAGTTTGGAGACTTCAAATGCAGAGCCAAAAATGATTCCCCCTGTGATGTTGAAAACGGATGTCTTTCGGCCTTTGGGCTGTTGGGTGGAGGCTGCACTAGCACTCTAAGAGGCTGAGAAGGAGCCTTCGAGACATGGATCCCTTTTGATTTTGAGTCCTTTTCTATTTCGGCTTCTGTTCGGGTGCCCAACATTCTGAGAGCTGGCCATCCTTGAATTGTGTTCCTAGTCCTGGGCAATTGGGCTCCTGCTTTATTGGATTCTGACAAGTCGATGCCTCCAGTAGCCAGTGTCAGCATGCATCAACTCGCCCGCAGTACTCTGCAGAACTTGTCGGTCTGCGTGTCTGATGCAAGTAGTTGGGGCGGACTGGAGCAGCAGGATGTTGCTCTAAGCCCATCGCCCCACATAAGCTCACATCATGTCACAAAGCTAGCTTTGACACTAAGGCTGTGACCATGTTCTATAAGTACAGCGGCATTCGTGCAGAAGAGAACAACAAGACCCTGGAAATGGCGCGGCAAATGAAGGCCCACCTCCTAAACGATTGCAACTTGCAGTTGAGGGTATGTTTATGAAAACGAAGTCCCAAACCCAGCCGAAGTTTAGGCTGGGACCTCACCTCGTAAGACCCCGCAGATTCGCCTCATGACCGAAGAGGAGGAGTCACTTCAGGCGACTTCCAAGAAGCTGCCCGTCTAGCACTTCTTGCGAAACAGGAGTTTAAGCTTGGGTTTGACACAAAGAAACGTCTTTTGACTCGAGTTTTCTTTGGCTGTCGGTAGAATTGCGCCCAATCTGGTGAGTGCGTGAGTTCAGGCTCTTGAAACGCAGTGATTGAAGCATTCTGGACTTGACTATCCCAATGCCTTCGCGAGACATGTTCTCACACCAAGGATCTACTGGGCATTGGCCATCTCCGGCACACTCTTGTGCTGCTGCTGCGTGCTCAACATTCTGCTAAACTCAGCAGGATGAATGCCAGCCGGTAGCCAAGTCTACTGCTGCTGGTTGCAGTAGACTGCTCGATGCCCCCGTTTGATAGGCCCGCTTGACGAGTGGTCGCACGACCCACACCAATCGCAGTGCGCGAAGCAAGCAAAAATGCAGTTCCTTGGGGACAGGTTTGTATTCTTCGTGCTATGTCAGCTGAACGTATCAAGTTAGGTAGTTTCCTTTTTCATGGCATCAAGAACGTAAGCATCAAGAGCCTTGCTTTGCGAACCAGAGATTGGGGGCAGGCTTGACAAGACTGTCACCGGGACTGACTCCAGTTATCTCGCCTGGGACTCAATGAAGGTCAGGAACAGATGTCCAGGATAAGAGAGCGTGTTTGTACAAATTTGTAAGCACTGCTGGTCGTTTTGGAACGCTTGGGCTATGCACACAAAAATTGGCTTTCGCATGCTGAGCTTCCAAAGGTGTGAGATAGTACATCAGACCAGTTGGTAAGCAAGAAGGCTGGCTTTTGCACAAAAGGCGGAAAAACGCGTCACCACAGGGAAGGAGCAACACAGCGGTCAGAAGCAAGGTGTAAGGTATCGCACCATATGTAACCAAACGATCACAACACAACATGCATGATTAACACATCAGATGCACTCCCTCCGTGGGTCAGTGTAGCGGATGTTCGATCACCTCGGCGATCCATTCCAAGAAAGCTATCGTTACAGCAAGCTAATCAAGCCAGTTGGAAGAATCATCGATGACAAGAGGAGGATATCATCAATCATCAGAGTGGCATGCGGACATTCATGTGGCAAGGATATGCATCAGACGACTTTGTCCCAAACGCTCATCATGTTGCGACCTTGTCCCAGCACTGATAGCAATAATGGTGATAGAGCATCTTGTCCTTTGAGGCAATGTCGTTTCCAAGGATCAGGTCTGTAGAACATCGTCTTTGCAACAAAGCAACAGCCAAGATGAGTTGTATACAGCGAGGGGCATTTTGAACGCTATGTGGTTTCATAGGCGGGCCACTTTCGGGCCTTTGCAGAAGCAGACCTGCCGCACCGATCTTCCCTTGACGTCGTGCTAGAGCAGACGCATAGGGAGGGGGGTCCATAAGCAGCCGTGCATGCATTGGGTAACCCCGTGCATGGCCAGCCTCACACTCAGTGCAGCGGCATGGTGGACAGTACAAAATACAACAAGTCAAAGCAAAACACAAAAAGTTGACAGCCACAACAAGTCAAAAAGCGCAAAGGGTGAAAGGGTTGAATAAAGCAAAACAACACTCGAAAAGTCGAGAAGTGCAAAGGCTCTGTAAAATTCGGAACAATGCAAGAAGTCGATGTGTTGTTCGCGCTTTTTCCCGTTTTCGCGCTTTTCGCATTTCCGCATTTTTCGAGCTTTGCGTGTTTTTAATGCCTTTTTGTTTGTGCGTGCGCGTGTGTGTCTGTGTGTGTGTGTGTGTGTGTTTGTGCGTGTTTTTTGTTTTTGTGGTGCTTCTCGCTTTTTGATCAGCGGTCATTTTTTGAGTTCACGCTTTGCGCTTTCCGCACTGTTCGCGCTGTCCGCGTTCTTCAGACTGTTGGCAGTGTTGCCGTAAAACACTGAAGCTTAGAAGCTTGGAAAAATTAAACGACAACCTAGACCCTAGAACACTAACTGCGATCCCTCAAGCCTGTGATTGCTGCAAATTACATACTTGCGAAATAGCTCTCCCTACATGTGTTCATATATATATATATGGTTCCGTGTCCCGTGTCGGTACCCCCGCCCCCCCCACCCCCCCATGGTATCCCCCCCCTAAACCCTAAACCCTAAACCCTAAACCCTAAACCCTAAACCCTAAACCCTAAACCCTAAACCCTAAACCCTAAACCCTAAACCCTAAACCCTAAACCCTAAACCCTAAACCCTAAACCCTAAACCCTGAAAACCCTGAACCCTGAACCCCCCCCTAAACCCTAACACCCTAAACCCTAAACCCTAAACCCTAAATTCTAACCCTAAACCCTAAACCCTAAACCCTAAACCCTAAACCCTAAACCCTAAACCCTAAACCCTAAACCCTAAACCCTAAACCCTAAACCCTAAACCCTAAACCCTAAACGCGTCGCGCCCTAACGTTGGGCGCGACGCTTGCCGAGGGAGTATATGACTACTCCCGAGCTTGGCTACGCTTTATACAGGTAACCTTCGGCTTGGAGAACGACTGTATCTCCAAGCCTAACACGAACGTGCTTTAACCTTGCTCAGAGCTGGACCTAGTAATATATAGAGTCATTCTATATAGAGCTACCTCAAACCCTAGTCCTGAGGATCCCTAAAACAAATAAATATCCGGGTCCAGGTCCAGGTCCAAGGTCCAAGGTCCAAGGTCCAAGGTCCAAGGTCCAAGGTCCAAGGTCCAAGGTCCAAGGTCCAAGGTCCAAGGTCCAAGGTCCAAGGTCCAAGGTCCAAGGTCCAAGGTCCAAGGTCCAAGGTCCAAGGTCCAAGGTCAAGGTCCAAGTCCAAGGTCCCCAAGGTCCAAGGTCCAAGCTCCAAGGTTCAAGGTTCAAGGTTCAAGGTGAGAGGTCCAAGGTCCAAGGTCCAAGGTCCAAGCAAGGTCCAAGGTCCAAGGTCCAAGGTCCAAGGTCCAAGGTCCAAGGTCCAAGGTCAAGGTCCAAGTCCAAGGTCCCCAAGGTCCAAGGTCCAAGCTCCAAGGTTCAAGGTTCAAGGTTCAAGGTGAGAGGTCCAAGGTCCAAGGTCCAAGCTCCAAGGTTCAAGGTTCAAGGTTCAAGGTGAGAGGTCCAAGGTCCAAGGTCCAAGGTCCAAGCAAGGTCCAAGGTCCAAGGTCCAAGGTCCAAGGTCCAAGGTCCAAGGTCCAAGGTCCAAGGTCCAAGGTCCAAGGTCCAAGGTCCAAGGTCCAAGGTCCAAGATCCAAGGTCCAAGGTCCAAGGTCCAAGGTGCAAAGGTCCAAGGCCAAGGTCACACCCAAGGCCCAGTCCAAGGTCCAAGTCCAAGGTCCACAGCCCAAGGTCCAAGGTGCAAGGTTCAAGGTCTCCAAGGTCCGCAAGGCCAGGGTCCAAGGTCCAGGTGGTGCAAGGTCAAAGGTTCAAGGTCCAAGGTCCAAGGTCCAAGGTCCAAGGTCCAAGGTCCAAGGTCCAAGGTCCATCTCCAAGGTCAGGTCCAACCAGGTCCAGGCAGTCAGGTCCAGAAGGACAGGTACCAAACCCAAACCAGGTCCAAGTCAGGTGTTCAAATGTTAGGTCCAGGTCCCGGTACAGGCCCGAGCACAGGTACCGAAAACCAAGCCCTATTCCAGATCCAGGTTCAGGTCCGGGTCCAAGTCCAACAGGTACAGGTGCAAGTACAAGTCCCAAGACCCAAACGCAAGCCGAATCAGGATTCGGATTTACCTTGCTAGCCTAGAATCTCTAGGTTCTGGGTAAGTTGGCTTGAGGGATGGAGTGCTTAGATTTAATTTGTTTTTGATCTTTAGCGCCTAAAAGCTTTAGAGCTGGGCGGCCTGGGGTGGTTGACACGACCGTGCTGCGTGTGTGTTGCTTGCAGCCAGCACCAACACACACGCAGCCAACGAATGCTACACCCTAAACCCTAAATATATAAACCCTAAACCCTAAACCCTAAACCCTAAACCCTAAATCCTAAATCCTAAACCCTAAACTGGAGCGAGCCGCGGGCGCTGCGATAAGCAGCGGCGAGCGATACCGCGTGGCGACAGGCCCGCGGACGAGCCCGAGCCTTAGCCTGGCGAGGGCTCGGGGCCGTTGCGTGCGGTGAGCGCGGCCCACACCTAGAAGGGTTTAACCCGCGTGCCAGCGTCAGTCTGGCTCCAAAGAGAAATTACCCTAAACCTTAGGTTTTTAGTGACCCCGCACTGGTGCAACCTCCCCTAAGAGTCCACGGCCCCAGCTCTGAGCCTTTCTGGGCTCCTCCCGGACCATTTCTGAGCTTTTTTGGGCTCCTCCCATTTCTGAGCCCTTTTGGGGCAGCCTTTTTGGGCTTCTCCCGGACCGTTTCTGAGCCTTTTCGGCTTCTCCCGGACCACTTCTTCCGGACAATGTCTGAGCTTTTTTGGGTTTACCGCACCATCTCCGAGCGTTTTATGGACCATTTCTGAGCTTTTTGGGCTTTTGGCGGACCAGTTCTGAGCCTTTTTGGGCTCCTCCCGGACTATTTGAGCCTTTTTGGGCTTCTCCAGATCATGAAACCATTTTTGGCCTGTTTTGGGCCCAAGCTCTCCCCAATCGTAGAGAGGGCCCAGGACCAAACACCAAAGGGAGCCCAAGGCATAAACCTATGGGTCTTGTAAGCCCGGTATAAGCATCATAATTTGGAAACACCGGGCAAAAAAAACCCTAAACCCGCAGGCGGCCCGTAGCGCCCCCTCCCACTACTGTACTTACACACGACATTATAAAACCCTAAACCCGCCCAAGGTTGAGATGTGGGTGGGTGGGTTGTGAGAGCGCGTTGAACCTGGGCGCACACCACAAGAACCTTAGCAAACCCTAAACCCTAAACCCTAAACCCTAAACCCTAAACCCTAAACCCTAAACCCTAAGCCCTAAGCCCTAAGCCCTAAACCCTAAACCCTAAACCCTAAACGCTAAACCCTAAACCCTAAACCCTCACCCCAACCACACCACCCCACAGGGGGGCCATGGGGGGGGGGGGGGGACCCACCATGGGGGGGGTGGGGGGGGGGCAGCGACGCTGCGCCATATATATATATATATATATATATTTATGGTACCCCCCCCCCCCATGGACCTACCTTTTTTTTGAAACCTCGGCTTGACCGATGTTTCAAAAAAGGGGTGGCTTCTCCAAAACATTGGTTTTACCGATGTTTTTGAACCCCTACCTTCAAAAAACATTGGTTTTACCGATGTTTTTTGAGCCCATGCTCACGAAACATCGCAAAAACCAATAAAAACCATAAAAACCATGATTTTCCAAACTATGGGCTTGGGTCTCCGAGTAGTTTGAAAAATCATGGTTTTTATGGTTTTTATTGGTTT